CAAGTGTCATCTTTTCCACCTGTTCTAACTGGTGCCAAGCACATAGAAAGCCCTCCCAGACGATACGACTGCATGCGAAATCTAAGTACCCTCCTAAGGACTGCAGCTGCCTCAGAGACATTGGTGTTTTTTCCACGGGCTGCCTCCTTCACTTAGAATAATCAGCTGTAGATTATCTCAGGGCACTCTAGATCCCACTGCTGCACAATCCAATTTGACATAAGGGTTGCCGGGGGGCGGAGAAAATCTTGCAAGCAGACACCGGACTTTCAGTCTGAGTTTTCCACTAGTACAGAGAAGTTTGTAGGCGAGGGCTGGGGAGATTTCATGCCTGTCTGTATTGGAAGAACAGCTGCAGGACAGGTATTTAAACACCTTAAATACTCCACAGGAAGAGAGAAAAGCTGCTTTCCAAAGGAGAAAGAATAGCGACCTGTAGCTGTGGGTAGACCCAGATAATCTCCAGTTATCTGTTCCGATAGCCAGATGACTCTCTTATCAATGTCAGTCGGGTCCCTGCCAATGCAATTACCGTGCCTCGTTGGCCTCCTACATGTCTTAGTGATTTTGCTGCTGCAGAGTTTCCCTGGCCGGAGAGGGTCAGGATCTCCGTCTGCAAAATGGTCTAACCCAAGCAAACACACTCCTGCTGTGGCAAAGCTCATTGTTGGGATCCATAATCATCCCTAATCCCCATGGCTGATTCCCCTGATTATGTGTCAGAACCGGAGCGCAGCCTATTTAAAAGGAGCCGTTTCCAAATCAGTGGCACGTCCTTTCGTTGGTTAAGGAACGTGGGTTTGACACAAAAGGCGTCTCTGAAATGTCTCTGGACTGAGGCACAGGAAGACAGCGTGTGTCTGTCAGGTTAACACTTGACTCAGATTGGGCTATTTGCCCTATTTTCCAGCTTTTTGGCTGCTGTACAGATAATAGGACCCCTCCGGTGCAGAGGAAGTCTGGCATCAAGGCAGGAGTCTTTCGAATAATACATGGCCCTGGTGGGTATTAATCCTGGCAATTTAGGCAGGTGTATGCAAGGGATCTGGGAAACTAAATATAGATTTCCATGTTAAAGGCTTCATTTCTGCAATGGTGTTTTCTGAAATGCCAGAGAGCCTGCAGAGCCTGCAGTCTCACTGTGGCAATGAGGTTCATGAATGACAGAAAAAAAACCCCAAGAAATCAGTAATGTTGGGTTTTGGGGATCAACTAATTGGCCAAAAATTATTTACAGAAACATTTATGAAAACCTTGAGTCTTTGCAATTATTTATGCATGCAAATCACTATGTTGGTTTATCCAAATACTACTGAACACCAAAAGAGGTGCCAACCATCGCTAGAATGGAGCTGACTCACCAGCTTCATTCATGACTCTGTTCATTTATCAGAGTAGCTTTATTGCTTCTGTTTGTAAGCATGACTTGCTTTTCTAGCCACAAGATCAGATCACAGTTGCAGCATGTCTTGTGTCAATGCAAATGTGTCCCTGTCCTGTTTAAATCATTCTTTACTTCCTGTGTTTTCTCAGAGTTGTGCAACGCTGGGGAAATTTCCATGGGCTTTGATTTCCCCTTAGTTCTTATTTCTCCTCTACTAGTGTTACTGTGCTGATTTCTCCTTTCCTCATGCTGTAATTGGTCTGGTGCCACTGTGTAATTTTTAACTGTGTGCACTATCAACAGACCTCCATCTGTCTCTCCTCCAGAGCTTCCCAGCCTGCCGTTATAACTATCTGCCAAATCCTTCTCCAAAGAGAGGATCACCAGATTCCAACTGTTTGCAAAATAAGAGCCGCTGCCAGAAATCCTCTCCCACCGTCTGCAACCTGTGCAGAACCTGTGTCCCGCACGTTGGGAGAGGTTACTGCTGGCACGGAGGAGCTCTGACTGATGCTTTTATTGTCCCTGCTGCAGAGGATTCCCCATATTGGTCTGTTTGCTCAAATATCTCATTATGTATCATTTTATTAGAAATTAACCTTCAATAGCCATCAGGTAATAAAACCAAAATAACTTCAGGGTTTTGTTTTTTTTTTCCCTTTAAAATGCAATACTGATTTAAAACATGTGGTGGGATGGATCGGTTCCAGTGTTGATCTGTAAGATACTTTACATGATCTGGAAGGGACTCAGAGTGTATGCCCCTTTCCCAGCCTGTCACTTGGAGGCTGAGGGCAAGTTACCACGATCCAAAGCCAAAGTAGTGGGTAGGACTTGCTGACTGTACATCCACATGGCTGAGAGCAGAGTCTGATCCCCCACCTCTCTATACATGTACATCAGAATAGATCATTAGATGAATTAGCAGCAAACCAGACGATGCGTTGATTAGATTGTGCACAGTAAAAATAACAACTTTTTAACATGGATGAAATAAAACCATGTATAAACACATTTGGATAAAGTAAAAAATATGGATTATGACGCAGGTGCCCTTTTAACACTGTTGAAGCCGTTCTCGTAACAGTCCATTGATTCCATTGATTCAAAGCTGTGTTAGGCTCGTGTAGCTTTTTAAATTCCGTTGTGTACCTTAGGCTATGATCATCACACATGGGAGTGTTCGCTGGTGGTACAGCAGCTTACTCTGGATGAGGAATTCTCTTTAGGTGCTGCTGCAGATATCAAATTAACAATAAATGTATGTTTGAATAAAACTCTTGCCAGCTAAAGCAGGTCCAAGGAACAAGGTTCCTGGTCTATCTGTGGGATAGCGGAATAAGTAATCAGAAAGGATTTTTCAAGGTTGTTTCAGGAGAGGGTTTCACGTTTGGATCTGCTACGTCTTAGTTCTGCAGAGCTTTGCAAAGGAACATAAGGAATGTAAAGCAGCTTGGGGTTTTGATAAATCCTCTTTCCAGTCTATATTCTGAATAACTCAATATTTCCAAGAGACCATACTTGTTTGACCTGGGCACGGACCATGGGGACTGTGACTGGAGAGTGTTTTTCTGTAGACTTTTCTGAAACACCAAAGAAACTTGGGAGTTTGTTTCATGTTGTATAGTCAGGTTGAAAAAATACCAGTATTTCCATTGTCTAGATTGCAGTGTGGGTTTGGTGTCCATTTTTGAAGGTTTTAGGACAATCAAGTTCATGATTTTCTAGGAGGGTGCGCTATGACTTAATAATCCGTTATGACAGGAGAGAAATATGTACAAACAAGCCTAAGCCTGCAGGACAGCTATACTTACTCCCAAGTGAATAATATCCCCAGCCATTGCCAGGGGTGGCAGGGAGCAAAGAGAAAAGGGAAATTAGAGAGACCGGACTATCCCGGCGGTGATGTACTGACTGCCCGGCGTGTCGAGCAGACAGCGCAAAGGAGCTGGGCTATGGGTATAGCTGTGCTTGCAAGATTGAGATCTAGCCCTTATTTAAGTCAAATTTTCCAGAGCAAGATTTTCTTGTAAAGCACCAGCAGCGATTTGTTTAAAGTCTTTGGGAGATAAAAAGCAGATGGCATTGATTAGCTAATTACTAATATTTTCTGCAACTTATCAGCTGTGCTGATATGTGTTAAGTTTGCAAAAGCTTGGGATGAATCTTTCTTTCTTAGATTTGTTGAAGAAACTCCATATTTTAAAATCTGTAGGGGAGGAGAAGTTATATACAAAAGTGTAATTTTCTGTCCAACAGAAATATGTTAATTTTTCTTCATTTGAATTTATATCCAGGTCTAATTTCTTAATTTTTGAGGGGAATATGCACAATGAGGTTGCAGCTCTCCTAGCTCTTGTCTTGATTGCGTGATGTATTATGTGACGTGCCATAGGTTTTTCCTCTTTGTGGGCATGCTCCTTCCCCTTTTGCATTTATTATGGAGACAAAGCAAAATATTATTTTTGGCAATATTATATTTACATTCCCATATATTATAAATATTTGGGAATGAGTGTGGCTGGACACAACTTTGGGTTCCCAATAAGCCCCTGTAGTTAGGACTTGCTGCAAATTCTCTGGAGGTTTGAGCTCTGCACCTGTACCACCCCGAAGCCTTTCCTGCGACAAGGTCCTGGTGCAGAAGCTGTATTTTAATTGCCAGCGTGTAACATGGGTGACGCACGAGCTGTCAGCTGGCCACCTGTGACAGCACGGAATGAGAAAGAGCTTTGTTTTCCTCTTCTGGGGAACCGTCCTCCCTCACAGATGCCCTGCAGAACAGCTTTGCGATGCTTATCTCCCATTTAAGACGTCCAAATAGGGCATGATGCAGGTCGAGGTGGGGCCCAGACGTGGGACTGGTCAACTGACTGAGTTGTGCTCCATCCAAAAGCTATCAGGACTGGCTAAAGTGAGACCAAGATTTGCTCCTCTGTTATGCAGAACTTTTCTATTTTCAATTAAATTCAGTGTTGAAGCTTTAGCCTTTCTATTTCCATCCGAATGACATTTTTTATTGGTTCTTAAACTGAAGAAACAACAAATTCTGCATCCTCTCTGGAGCACAGTCTTGTTAATGTTCTTTGAAACATGACATGTGTCGTGGCCGTCAAACTGCAATGATCCCATTTCTTCTGAAATGAGAAAAACATGTCACTTTTGGCTCGAAGTAACACAAAGGGAGAGAGTCATATTTTAGATAGGAGCTGCATGGCTGCCAAAGATGAAAGAAAAATGTTATTACTTTTGGAAATTTCATAATTACAGTTAATGACAATTTAATGAAATGACATTGTCTTCACCGCTATCACTAATGAAATGGTTGAGAGTGATAAAACAGATCTCGTTAAATAGAGCGAGAGTCTTGAGTGGAATAGCTTTGTGACAGCAGCGTGCATGCACAAGTCTTGAATTCCTCTTCTTTTGTTACAGTGGTTTAAAAAAGAAGATAAAATGAAGGCTACATGGCAAATAATGCACACATAAGTATTTAAAGGCCTTCCATTAAGCAACCAATACTGAAGTCCTGAGTAACATGCTGATGACTGAGTACTGCTCCTTAGAAATAAATGCTAACCCTTCATTAAAACACTCTCCTTGTTTTTCTTTGCAGACAAACCAGAGAACAAGAAACCCCGCCTGACTTTTTTTATTTCTCAGACTATGAAAGGCATAATGCAGAAATAGCAGCATTTCATTTGGACAGGCAAGTAAAATGGGTTTGCCTTAAAAGAAAAGTGAAAATATTGTGATAAGTTTCTGCATTTGGCCAGCCCTGTAACTGAATTAATTTTTAAAAAGGGGAAAATGGAACAAAGGTGGGGAAACACCATGAATAAATGAAATGGCAGATGATGAAAGGGTAGATTAATAATTAGGAAATGCAACTTGCTCTGGGAATGAGAAACCTGGTGATAAGTAATTCTCAAAAAGAAAGAGAAATTATATTGAAGAGAAGCCGAGAATGAATTTCCCCTGTGATCTTGAAGTGCATAAGGAGAGGACCCATCTCCTGGGGAATATGTGGCATAAGTGTGATGGGAGCCTGGCTCACCCCAGTTAGCTCCAGGGTGTGCAAATCCAAGCTAGTCGTGGGGAATGGTGAGTATGCAGAGAGGAATAATTGGGATGGGGAGGGAGTTCTGGCTTCACAGCAAAAAGCTGGGCTGTCCCATATGAGGAACATGTTTAGGCCACAGGTTAGTGGGAAGGAGAGGACACTGATGGTCATCCCATGCTCCTGTTAGCTGAAGGTGTTTCCCCAGGGAGAGTTAGTGCAGGGTGTGGTGGATACCCCGAGGCTCGGAAGGGACTGCAGCCCTTCAGCCTGCCCAGATGAGGAGCAGAATTAATAGTGATGAATTATTAACAGTATGGCTAGAAACCATGGCATTTCATAGGCTGAGTTAGAACTGAAGCGTCTTTCACACCGTGAAGTGCCAAGAAACATCCTTTCAAAAGCTTGAAGCTTTGGGGCCACAAATTATTTGGGACTGCATGTAGTATTGCTGCCTTCTGGGTTGATGGTTTGGATAAGGGAACCTGTCAGCAGGTGGCACGGGGTAGATTTGCCATTAAGAGCCATCCTGGTCAGATCTTTGAAGGATCTTCTATATGTTATTGTTGTTGACCTTGGTGTTGGTCCCTTCTACTTTATATTTTATATTGCCAATTTAAGCAGATGGTGCTGTAGGAAAAAACATTAGTGGGGTTCCTGCAGGGAGGTGTGTTAAACATACACACACTAAGGAGAAGAAGCAGTTGCCACCCAATGTAGAGAATCTTGTCAGCAGACAGTGGACATAAAAATCGCAGCTATGGGGAGGCTTTGTATGGGGACTTTGCTCTTTTACTGTATCTAACAGCAGTGCTTCGTAGGGAGTTTTTAATGATCTACTAAGGTGAGGGAGTCTGGGGGAGAGAAAGGCTCTTCACCCAGCCTTTGGCCATGGGAAAAGTTTTAGTCTCAGGGAGATTGTCTAGGTTAGTGTAAGGGTATTAAAACAGAGAGGAGAAGAAGCAAACAAATCAAACAAATACTGTCAGGAAAGAAAGAATTGCTAGTTTATAGATCTATTCAATGGTGTTTGTAGAAGAAAGATGATTAAAGCCCGTTCATCAAGTCACTTAAAAAATTGGCAAGCAAAATGCATGTTGTAACAATCCTGAAGTAGCACAAAGTCAAAAATAAGTTTCTTCTGTCTCCTATTTCTGGAATTCTTGATTTTTTTCATGGAACAAAGTGTCTCCATACTCTTCTGTATTTTGCATCTGCTCTGTACTATGTAGGCAAGTCAGAGCTGATCATGTTCAGGACATATTTTGTAATACGTTATTCGAAGGATTATCCAGTTTAAAGTTGATGGGCTTTTTCCTGCTTAAAGACCACAGATAAATGTGCCTTCAGTGTGTAATGTACCTTCCTAAAACCTATCGCTATCATTATATTTTAATCTTTTACATAAACGATCTCTTTCCTTTCTCTTCCAGGATCCTGGATTTCCGTCGCGTGCCACCAGTTGCAGGTAGACTGGTTAACATGACAAGGGAAATACGAGATGTTACTCGTGACAAGAAACTGTGGAGAACATTTTTCATCTCACCAGGTAGTCTTGGAAATAACACTATATTTTTTCTATCCCGCTGAACACATACTTAAGGGAATGATGTGTGGATTGCTTAATTGCTCAGATATTTCTAATAGAACTGTCTTGTAGACCTTTGAATAAGAATAAATGTGGAGACATAGCCTACAAAGAAGACTTTATTGTTTTGAATTGAGTGCCTTTTCCCCTTGACAAATTATCCGCAGAGACAGGCTTTTGTGTTCACAAAAGCAATGTATTCAACAAATGTTTTATGGAGAGCAATTTCTAAAGCAATTTCTTCTGTTGCTCTCAGTTTACCCAAAACCTCATTACTTAGCCCATTAGTTTTTTAGACTTTTTTTCCCTCCTGCTATGTGATCCGTCACTTCTGTTGGTCAGATGCATTTATTTCTTGGTTTTGACTGGAGGACCGAAACCTAATTTTCTCCAAGTCAGGAACATCGGTTTTTGTTACAACAGGAGTTTGAAAAAAATCAAGGAAACAGATGTGTAACGTATCCTGCTTCCAGCTCAAATTCTCCGCTGGGTAGAGGCCAGAGTGGAAGTCACCTGAATTGTTCCTGGTCCTTGTTCTTGCTTTGAGGGCTGAGCCCAGGAACTGGTACCACTCTTTATTTCTGTTACTCCACTCTTTCACAACGTCTGGTGGCCCCAGCCAAGGATGGAGCTCCACAGCATGTGAATTTTACAAATGCAGAGTAAAACCATGCCCTGCTCACCAGAATATACTTCTAGAATAGGTAAAGATGGGCGAAGTGTGGGAGAAAGTGATATCATCTCTGTTTAGCATCTGGGATCCTGAGATGGAGGAATTAAGGCTCTGAGTTAAGGCACAAAAATACACGACTCTTAGAGAAAGAATATATAGGGAAATGTTCAGTTTAAAGTATGCAGCTATGTTCCAGGGAGCTTAACTCATATTATTTCAGTTGCATGTAAATGTGCTTTGCTGCACTCGGGCTGTGAATTGTGTAACAGGCAATCTGGAGCAGAAATCTCTGGAGATCTCTCCCTTGCTGTGTGTGTGATTGGCCAGAAGCTGTTTATCCCAGATCCCTGAAGTCAAGATCCAAAGGCTTAATTACAGTTTCTCCCAACACAACTGTAATTTATTGCTGTTAGCTAGAAACCAGCTCGCAGAGCTTTCTCTCTTAAACTTTTTATCACACTTCTGTGATCACCAATAGAGTCATTGTGATGGCTGTTATTTTTAGCTTAATATTTATGTTCTGCTCTGCAGGACACGCAGTTGAGCAGACAGTTATTTATTCCAGTAACTTCACTTGTAAAATACATTACATAATTGCTAGAGGTTTCATCTTACCCCGTGTTATGAGCGCTCCAATTGTACAGTCATGGTGACAGTGGTGACAGTACGTGGTGACAGTATATGGCAACAGTGTTCACCAAACCTGATGTGCGACATTTCTGTGTGCTAGGCACTTCTATCTCAGTTGCTTTCTCTCCCTCTCTCTCTGTCTCCATCTCTTCACATTTTTTTGTTGCTTAATTTCTTTGTAGACGAATAATCACACGAAAGATGGCAAAAAAATCTTGTGACTGTTTATGTGCACAAGGTACTTTGGCTCATTTGAAATATAAACCATTTTATTCCTGTTTTATCAAGTAAGACTTGGATTAGGAGGTTTGCTTGCTTTTTAGTGTTCCCAGGTTATGTGTGAGGGCTTAGGGGTGAATTTGAGTGATTTCTGAGAATTACAAAACTGTGCTCAAGTGCTGAGCAGCTTACAGCAGCTGGAGCATGGCAATGCAGAGTTAAGGCTGATAGTTTGGATGAAGATCTTTATCTTGTCATTATGAAGTTCCAGACATCCCAGGGATGATCCGAGCATAATCCTTTATTCAAATTTATTTAGAGGCCTCAGATAAATTCAATTAAAATATTTGATTAACTATGAATCAGGCTTTTCTGGAGAATGAAATGCTTAAGCAATTAATTTTTCTTTCAGTTTTACATTTCCTAAATCAATATACTTTGCTTAAATGATGTTGGTTACTTGTCAAGGTTCTTCCCTACAAGTCCCCAGTTTAATTAGTCAGATTCTCATTAACATATGCCCAACCTCTGTCTTGTATTTCATACTGACCTTAAGAGGCAGGCATTAATTAATGCTCAATGAAAAAGTAATAAAGGTCCTAAATTAAGTGTTTAGAAACAAGTTCACGAACCTAGCAGGCAGCTCAAGCAGCAGATGAAGGGCGAAAAGGGGAAAGAGGAGGGTGCTGGGAGGCGCCCTGCATCCTGGGGAGGTGAGGATGGAGGGGGAACGGGGAACCTGGGGAAGGCTGGAAGGGGCTGACTTGTCCCTGTGGGCAGATGAGGGGCAGCAAATACAGTTGGTTTTGAGGGAGAACTGGGTTCAAAGCTGAGAAATTGTAGTGTGACATATAGATACATACAAGATCCAGTCTGTGCACCCACATTAAGCTGTCGAGGCCCCCCCAGGACTCCCTTTCAGGTGGCTGTGTCTCTGCATCTCCATCCCCAGCAGTGCTCAGCAACAATTAATGGTCATGGGGACACTGTGTCTGCTGGCAACACACCCATATAGATCTCTTAAAATTAAACAAGCACTAGATGTAATTGATTTTGTACAAATCTCTTCCCCTCAGGCTGGGAGACCACTGTTTGCAGTGGAAACCCTCAGCAGGTGAATGCTGGTGATGCTCAGCAATACACTGTGGTTTTCCCTGGACCAGTGCCGGGGATGTGTTGGAAGAAACCCCACTGCATTTCCACACCTGGGCCATCTCACTTGTCCCATCAGGCATGGAAATCAGGGTGTCTTACTGCCAGGAATCTGCGGGCAGATGTAGCTTCAGAGCATGCTGCAGAGCAGCATCCCTTCTTCCATGGGGAAGTGGAAATGGCTGCGAGCAGACAGGTTAGTCAATGCATTAGACTGTGCTCAGAGAGAAAGCAGATTGCAGAAGTGCATTTCCAGGCAGTTTGGACTAAACATGAGAAATGGAATTAGGTCAGTAATTATTTAAATTAATTTTACATCCTTTGCAGTAGGGCAGGCTGCAGTAGCCCTGCTACTCTTACAAATGAGTGGTAATTTGCTAGGAAAAAAGAGACATATTAATGATGTCAGCCTTCATTTTGGAAGTAATTGAGGCAGCAGATTAAAGAAATCAATGTTACATAGCTAGTAAGCACTATGGTTTTGTTCATGTTAACCAATTCCAAGGGATTATGGATTTTTTTTCTTCTCTCAGCAAACAATAGCAATTCTGAATTAGCTATTATTTTGAGCAGGTAAAATAAAGATCTTTTGATACATCGCTTTAGTAAATATTCAGGATTCTTTCCAGTGCTCCAATTGCACGGGTTTGCTAAATGTCCTCTATTTACAGTCATGCAAATCTCAATAAAAGAATTGCTCTGCCCAGCAATTTGCTTTAAGGTATCTCCACTTGTTCCTTTTCTTCTTGAGAAGCATTATTGTTAAGCTATTGGGATGACACACAGAAAATGTGCAGATGAGTACACAGACAACCTGGTTCTTAATTATTGTAATTAGTTGGAGTTTCGATCACCAGACCATGATTTTTGTGTGGATTTCATTACGAATTGTATCCATTCATCCTCAGATAATGAAAATCAGACATTTGCAGCACTGCTAGGGATTCTCTTGCCTCTAGTGCTTTGGGGAAACAATTTTGGTTTTTAATGAAGAAGGAATTTGCATGTTACAAATTCACAGCATTTGAACATTTTGGAATGTAGAAACATCCTTCTCTTTCTGGTTTGCCAGTAGGGCCGCTGTTGCCATTTCTACCCACTCTGCCGGAGCACAAATTCCCGGGGGTCGCTTCTTTTGCAGGTATATTAAGGGACAGGGGTCTCTACAAACACACCTGTACCGTATGAGAAGAACATATGGGCTGGGAAATTTTAAAGGGAGGAGGACCACACTGATCTCCCCTTTCCCTCTTATTTTTGCCTTCGAAAGGCCAAACCCTGCTCTTGGCGTGGGATTGCTGTCGAAGCACGGGGCTTGTGTCTCTAGCTGGAAATTCACCCTCAGCCTGCAGCGCAGAATGTGGGTCACCTACTTAGGTTTCAAAGAAGCTTGCTACTGCACCTTGAAATCTTAAATGAGAACCGTGTTTGTCTATATTTGGTACCTCTTTTTTTTTTTTTTCCTACATTTTTAAGAAACCTTAAAAATGAATATTTCCCCAGATAATTCAGGCTGCTTCATCTCACTGCCTGTAATAAGAACTCATCTCACTTCTGTATAAGAACTAGGGTAGACATATCAGGATGTCTATTCTGTATCAATCAAAGCAGATAATTTATTTAATAGCAAATTGAAATACAGCGTCCTTTCACCCCTGCTACCCCCAGAAATTGGACAGGAGCTCTGGAGATTAAGTACCACAGGTCTGAGCCCACGGGGAGAATAACAGCTGGCAAAACCATAGAATTACAGAATGGTTTGGGTTGGAAGGGACCTTAGAGATCATCCAGTTCCAGCCCCCCTGCCCTGGACAGGGACACCTCCCACTAGACCAGATTGCTCAAAGCCTCACCCAGAAAAATCTTTGCTGTTGAAAGTAATTTCTCACCAAGAAACACACTTGTGGTTTTGCCACAAGCTTGCTGTCTTAATGATGGGCCACATCCTGCCATTGTTCGGAGGAGTGGGCTCCTGCTGCAGGCAGTGGGGGGCTCTGTGGGACATAGCTGGAGGAGCCTGGTGGGAGCCGGGATGGACGGTTCAGATGGCGTAGGCAGCACACGTGTCTGCAGCAGTGAATGCCATCATTGCCGTTACCCCTGAATATTTATCTGGGTATGGATGTGTGATTACTGTCAAATGATTAGTCCCCGTTGCTTTTGTTGACAATACAGAGCAGGGCTTCATTGTTCCCAAAGTTAAATTCAGAAGTAAACTATTAAAGACAGTCTTTCTCTTCCCACTGTGCAAAACGCTGTGTTTTATATAATTCGGTTTTTGAAAGGTCAGATTTACATAGTGAGCAGCAGAGGCTGCGATAGCGCGGGAGGGGCATTGCTGGGCCTTTTGCTCTTTACAAAACCGTTACGGCGGCAGATAACCGAGCATCGGCTTCCCGCTGCCAGGTGGAAGTCAGGTCATAGAAACCCTGGAAGATAAATTGTCTGAGGCGATCAAGATAAATCTGCGTGCATTCCCTCCCTCCGCAGACGAGCGGGTGATGCTGACACTGCTGAATTGAAGCACAAGCCCCACTGCACCTTCAGATTGGTGGAAACATAAACCTTGGCTGCAGCACAGGGAGAGCCCTGCCTTCACACCAAGGGGAGATAAGGGATCTCTTTATAGCTCCCAGCTCTTCTGTGCTAGCCTGCAGCGAGCAGCATCTGTATGTGATTTCTTGTAAATCATCCCTTGTGGCAGCCTGGAACCCCTTGGAATACTTCGTCTGTAATAATTTTTTTTAAGGGTATAAATCACAGATGTTTTTCCCCAGTTTTTATTGGCTGAGAATATCCCAACCTTCCTAACGGCCCAGTATGATCCTCCCGTTTGCAGATCGTCTGCAGCTGGCAGTGCTGCCCACAGGTGCTTGGACAACTCTTCACTGGCATCCTGAATAATGGCAGAGGTTCACAGGGAGGCATGGAGCCCTCCTGGGTTTGCCAGGACGATCAAAGGCGAAGTTGAGGCACCTGTGTTAGTCCTGCAAAAAGCTATGCCAAGTCCATGCTGCGATAGCATTTTTGAAAAAGAAACTCGTGAGAGGTTATAGACTGCAGGGCAGTGCGCCCAGGGCTCCCCTGAGCTTTGGTTTGTCTAGATGTTGACTTTACGCTTGATCTTAGACTAATGAAATGAGTCTGAAAGAGGGCCACTGAGATGGTCCTGGAGCTGGTTCATCTGATGTACGAAGAGAAGTTGAAGGTTTCAGATTTTTTTAACCTGGAGAAGCTGGGCTGAAGCTGGAGCTTGGACCAGGGACCTCCAGAGTCCCTTCCAACCCAGGTTTCCCTAATTGTGATTGCTCTTTTCCCATGCAATTTGTAAAAAGGTTTTCAAAACTTCACTCTCAGTGTTGCTTAAAAGGAAAAATGAGTGGGGTTTCTGTTTAGAAGTTAATAGGCGTATCGTGTGATGAGCAGCACCAAGGTTTGTTGCTGGGGTTCATAGGAAATGGCCAAACCGAATGGCTTATCGGCCAAGGACGTGATCCCTTCTTCGTACACGGAAAATCTCAAACTACTGTTCCTTTAATTAAAATGTTAAGGGACTAAGTAGGCCTTATATGTAAGAAAAAGCTTTTAAAATAATTTTTAAGAAAGGTTATTCTGCCTGGTGAAACACTTTAAATTACAAAATTGAAAGTATAGACATGCTGAGTGCTCCCTTCCTTCCTTCTGTAATTTCTTTTTCATTTTCTCTTCCCCGAAGTACTTTTCTTTCAGTAATTGTCAAGAGGTTTTTGACCACAGGGTAAATATTTCTGGACTGGGTCAGGATGTATTTAACTGTTATGAGCCAACACTGTGAATGTAAATATACAGTTTGGGTTGGAGTTGTTCCTGAGCACAGAGAGATGGGTGGTCCTTATGAGTCAGTCACAGCAGAGGGATTCGAAAAGTCTGTGTCCAAAGTAATCACAACTTAATGGACAAATCTGACAGACATCAACAGAGGCTTGGAAATGAAGACCTGAGATAAACTGTCGAGTAGTACTCATCAGCCTTACAGTCCAATTATTTGGTGTAATTCTGTGGTTAGCGGTTGGTCCCAGATAATACGGTTAATTAAGACAATCAAAAACATCATGAGACCTTATTGCTCTCCACATTCTTCTTTTCCTTCCCCAATTGCAGCTCCTTGCCCTGTTTCCCCCTCCCTCCTGTTATCTCCGTAGCACCAGGGCCAGTATTGCTCCCTGTCCTCTTGACTCACCATCTCCCTTGAGTCACCCACCAGCAGCGTACCATCTCCACCAGCGCTTTGCCTTGGAGGTTTTGCTTTGTAGGTTGGATCGGGACTGGGGGGATGTCACAGCGATGTGCAGGGCAGTGTGCTGCAGCTGATGAAAACCCACCAGCTTACCTATCCGAGCCACAGGGTCATCTGTGGCAGGCAGAAAATCACCTCCCTCTCTTCACCAGCCCTTCTGCCTTGTTTGTACTGATCCTGCCCAAAGGGAGAGCAGCTCAGCAGCAGTATTTGAATTTAGAGGCCTTGTGGGGAATTAGGAAGCAATGCGACTTCTCAGATTCATGCATTACCATAAGGAAAGGGCACAGTCTTCCTCCGATGACATTTTGTGTGCATAAAGCAATGTCAAAAGAACTGTAGCACACCAACAAGATCAGCATTGTGCTCGCATTCTTGTTCATAGTCCATCATTGGTGGGATTTGGGTGCTCTCTCCCACCTCTAGTAAATTCACATGGGAAGGGGCTTCTTGTAAAGAGGTGAGTGTTGAGGAGGTTTTAAGGTAAAACATGCTCCAAAACCTGCTGCAAGTTCTTTTTCTGTGGTTGTTGGAGTAACGTGACGTGTGGAGGAAGAAATTTGTGTTTGGGATGTGTGCTGACAGTTACATCTCTGCTATTTCCACCTTCCACACACACCCCCACACGAGTCTTCATGGTAAATAATTCTCCTTAGTAAAACTGCCAGTTCTTCTCATACCAGCAAGTAAATGAATGAAATGTTGTCGTCTGTTCTTAAACAAAGCAGCCAAAATTTTGAAAGGTGACTTAACTCTGGGCACCTGCCACTTGTTCAGCTGTGGGATTTTGGGTTCCAGCCAGGAGTAACAAATATATCTGAAATGATGTATCAGTCTGCGAAAATGAAAGGAGAAGGGAAAGGATTAAAAAAAAAAGTAGTGTTTTGGGAATATAAATAGGCTGGAAATAGTCACAGAGACCTCAGCACAGGGCGTGATCCCGGACACTGCAATGGGTGTCTTTCTAGTGGTTTCAGTGGAAGAAAACTACGTGTGGTAACGGGGATTTGGGTCTGAGATTTATTTCTGCTCATGTTCCTTTATAGACATCAGTGTTTTTATGAATTCTTGAACACTAATTTAAGGGTAGGTTTTAAAACTCTTTTCCTTTATTTGCCAGCCAACAACATCTGCTTCTACGGGGAATGCTCCTACTACTGCTCGACTGAGCATGCCCTGTGTGGAAAACCAGACCAGATCGAAGGGTCTCTGGCTGCTTTCCTGCCCGATTTGTCTTTAGCCAAAAGGAAAACCTGGAGAAACCCTTGGAGACGTTCCTACCACAAGCGCAAGAAAGCAGAGTGAGTAGTGCTGAGCAGAGGGTTCGCCAGCTGCAAAGGGCGGTAGGAAAATAGGACAGTGCTGCAGGTCCTGCCCCTGCCTGATCTAAAGCATTGAGGCTTAGGAGAGCATCTGCATTTCTTCAGCAGGTCCGGCTCCTGGGAAGGGACAGAGTACTTAACTTGCAAAGAGCTCGAGCTCATGGTCCTGAAGCTGAAAGGACCTTCAATGACATAATTCTCCCATGGGACGTATTCCTCCAGTGGCTTTGACAGGATGCAATGGGATGTGTCCCGTCCTATCAGAGGGAGGAAGATTCACTGCTATCAGCAGCCCCAAACAAGCCTCAGATATTTTCATCATATGACTGATAGTGCAGCTGGTCTCTTAAATCTTGAAGCTATTAGCCAGATAGTTTTCAATCTTGTGATTTTCTTCCTTTTTCATCAGTCTCAGTCTTTATTGGTTGCCTGCGTTACTGGAAGCAGCCTGAAGAATTTGCTGCCTCTACCTGACCCTGCCCTCAATCGAATGTGATACAACCAGATCTTTGCAAATATAACATTTTTTTTTTAATACTCAGTAAGCTTTGTGTGTCAAATAAAATATCAAAATCTTGGCTTTTCCAGATGGGAAGTTGATCCAGATTATTGTGAAGAGGTTAAACAAACACCTCCATATGACAGTGGGACCAGAATTCTGGATATAATGGATATGACAGTTTTTGATTTCCTAATGGGTATGTTCATCTCTTTCAAAAATTAAATGCAACATTTAATTAGAAGAAGAACAATTTCTTTCTCCACCGCTCTGCATAGCTCAGCAGTTTGCTAACATGTTGTTGAAGCTGCATTTACTGTATGTGCCATTCTAGATGGTTATGAGAAAATGCAGACTTACGTGGTTATGTATTCCCATCAGTGCAGATTAAAGGAACAAAGATGTTCAGCAATGCAGAGTGATGATGAATGCAGGTCAGGCGAGTCTCCTTCACAACGGTTAAGGGCTTCCCAGTTTGCTTTAGTAGGTGCCTTACCATTGTACTGTATGGCTCTGGATGCAGATACCAAGAACTGCTCATTACTGGCACATTTTTCAACCTGCAGTAGTGTTCACTGCTGCTTGCTCTATCAGCTGTCAAAGGGAGAAAAAAAAGAGGTGTTGCTTTGTCACAAAGGCAACTGTGATGTGTATCAGGAAGTTTTTTCTGTGTATGTAACTTGTTTGGAATAAAACAATTATTAACAAGCAGGTAATAGTGATGTATTCCAAGACTACTCAGTGGTTAACACTGAGACATTCTCATGGGAAACCTGTCCTGCTGCAGCTAATATGTCTGTAAGGTGCCAGCATACATACTTGATCCTCGGACACACGCCAGCATGGACATATCCTCTGCCATTGCCACTACTGAGATTTCTGCAATAGGCTGCATCAGGAAAGGCCAAATCCCAGCTCAGGAGCATCTATAAGTGGCTCAAGACCCCCACCATGGGGACAGAATTTGTAGCTTGGCACCAGTACTCTGCATATTGACCTTTAAAAGCAGATCCCGTGTCTGCCTGCCATGGGTGCCCAAAGAGAGCTGCTCAGCTGTACCACTGCAGTAGCATCCTGATCCATATAGAATCGTAGAATCATTAAGGTTGGAAAAGACCTCAAGGATCATCAAGTCCAACCGTCAACCCAACACCACCCAACCCACTAAACCATGTCCCTGAGCACCACATCTACATGTTTCTTGAACACCTCCAGGGATAGTGGCTCCACCGCTTCCCTGGGCAGCATGTTCCAATGCCTGATCACTCTTTCAGTGAAGAAATTTTTTTCTAATATCCAGCCTAAACCTCCCCTGGTGCAACTTGAGGCTGTGTAAGAGCCGTGGCTGCTTTGCACACTGTGCTGACCCAGGGCTGGAGCAACAGGGCTCGTTTGCACTGATGAAGCTCTGCTGGCTCAGGACATGGCTACCTCGCGGACAACCAGGTTCCCAAAGCTGTTGAGATGCCATCATACTCGAGAGGGATCTCCTTGGCATGCCCCAGGAGGTGGTTGCTGGAAGATGGGAAGGATTGTTTTGTCTCCTGGTGGGCCCTCTAGAGCTTAAACACAAAAGCTACAGAGAGCTTGAAAAGCTCCCAGAGGCAAAACAGCCCATCTTCCAGTGCTACACACTTGGGGCTTTCCACAGTACAAGCAAAAAAACGTGGCTTTTGTATTTTCTTGGCCTGCAGGGTCAGCAGCAAGCTGGAGTGAGAACGGGTTTTTTTTTCTCTTTATTCTGTAGGTAACATGGATCGACATCATTATGAAACCTTTGAGAAGTTTGGAAATGAAACATTTATTATCCATTTAGATAATGGAAGAGGGTAAATACCTTTAATATTAATCTTTCTGGGGAAAAAAGGGAAAAAAGTCTTTAAAACTGACTTTGCCATATTCTTGTTCTTATCTTTTAACAGATTTGGAAAATATTCCCATGACGAACTTTCCATATTGGTGCCTTTAAACCAGTGCTGCAGGTACGTTTCGTCCCCAGAGTTGTTTCCCATTTTATACAGTTGCTTGCATTAAAAGGACTGAAATTTTCAAGTGAATCTTTTGTTGCATGCCATGGAGAGGAGGACCAGTTGCATGCCCAGTGAGCATGACCCTAGTGCTGGCACTAACAGATTCAGTGCTTTGCTGAGATCAGGACCTTGCAGGAGCGTGGATGTGAGCTGTTGGGAGAGGGGCTTTGTTAAGACAAAATGCGTGTCTCATTGAAGTCAAGTGGCAAAACTTTCCCCGGCTTCTTCAAGTGCTTCACAATGGCTTTCCATGGTGCCCATGGCCAGGATTTTCAGGTGATATTTAGAGTTCCAGCTTTGCAGGAGGCTCTGGGCATCCCCTCAGCCTGAGTCAGTGGGAGCCTCCGCTGCCACCCCCATGCCCCAGCTCAGTGCCACGAGCATCATGTGTGTCCGTGCAAGGACTGATGTGACCCCATGAATGCTGCACCAGATCCGCTCGGTGCATTACCCAGCCGAGAAACACGAAAGCTGTCTGCACCCAACTGTAGAGCTGTGCTCCAAAACCTCTCCCCTTTAAGGGCTCCCAAAGCCCACTGGCCAGGTGACAATGCCAGCTGCTCATTAGGACTGTGACAATGCCTGCTTCCCGTCATTTCAGATCACATAATAAGGTTTTTATGCTGTTTTTGCTATGCTGACTGTAAGCCTTATAGCCCTGTCAAGGTCAGTAGTGATGAAAACACTGATTTTCTTGTTTTTTTCTCCTTTTTCTCACAGAATAAGGAAGTCTACCTATCTGCGATTACAGTTGTTAGCCAAGGAAGAATACAAACTCAGTGTCTTGATGAAGGAATCTTTACTAAAAGATAAAATAGCTCCTATTCTCTACCAGCCTCACTTGGAGGCGATGGACAGGCGGCTGCGGATTGTCCTCAAGGCTATTAGTGACTGTATAGAAAAGGATGGTTATATCAATGTGGTTGAAAATGACTTTAACACTGATGTTAACACTGTTACGACCGAGAGGTAGTGAAATCGCGAGACTACGTTTTTACCAGCCAAGTAAAGAAGATTCAATGAGGAGGAAAAGAAAAAAAAAAAAAAAAAGTCTTGCAAAAGACTGTATATGCCACTTTGTGAATTCAGTGAATTCAGAAATGAGATATAATTGTTCCCAAAGTAGGTAAAGTGTAGACTCTGCAAAGGCTTAGTTCATTAAGAAAAAATAAGTCTAATGTGATGCTTTTCATTAGTTCCTACAGAGAGGTTATGAAAAGATGCAGAAAATACTCAGATCATTGACAGACACCAGTCTGATAGCAAAACACCTCCTGTCCTTTTTGTGTAGAAAGGAGGCCTTTACTTAATATTTTGTATTTATATATGGTATATCTATGAAACCCCAGACCTACCTACCAAATTTAACTAAGAGGGATGGCATAGTTTTGTGACTCACACTTTATTTGTGGTGACAGTCCACTTAGTATTTTGTGTTAACCCTTTAAGTGCTCTAATCCACTGTATCTTATTTAAATTGAATGCTTTTTTTTCCCCAGCTACTCAGCATTTAAAGGGTTAAGGCATTATGAACTTTTAAAGGCAAAAAATAATAATTATAATTATAATTATAAT